TATTCCATCTTCCTTTATTTTTTGGAATAGTTTGAGAAGGATAGGTATTAAATCTTCTTTGAATGTTTGGTAAAATTCTCCAGAGAAGCCATCTGGTCCTGGACTTTTGTTTTTTGGGAGGTTTTTGATTATTGTTTCAATCTCTTGACTTGTGATTGGTCTATTCAGATTCTCTATTTCTTCTTGATTCAGTTTTGGGAGGTTGTATGAGTCTAAGAATTTATCCATTTCTTCTAGATTGTCCAATTTGTTGGCATATAGTTTTTCATAGTATTCTTTTATAATCTCTTGTATTTCTGTGGTATCCGTTGTAAAGAAATTTTATAGTTTATGATCCGTCTGAGTTAATTTTTGTATAAGGTACGAGGAGTGGATCAAAGTTCATTTTTTTTGCATATGGATATCTAATTGTTATGGCATCATTTGTTGAAAAAACTAAGTTTTCTCCATTGAATTGCCTTGTGCCTTTATTGAAAATCAATTAACCATGTATGTGTGGGTCTGTTTCTGTTCTATTGATTTATGTATCTATGCTTTCTTCAGTTACCACAGTGTTCTGATTACTGTAGCTTTATAGTAAGTCTTGAAATCAGATAATGTGTGTCTTCCAACTATGTTGTTGTTCTTCAGGTTTATTTGAGCTATTCTAGTTCCTTTGCCTTTCTAATAAGAATTTCATAATTAGCTTGTTGATTTCTCAATTCCTGCTGGAATTGAATTGTATTTGTAGATCATTTGGGGAAAAATCAGCATCTTAACAATCCATAAACACAGTGTATCTACATTAAAGTTCTTCTTTGATTTCTTTCATCAGTGTTTTTGTAACCGAACTCAGTGGGTCCATCTCTTGGTGACTGCGGAGCTTAAAAGCACAACCAAGGCTGAAGTCGGTGAAGAAAAAAAGGTTTATTGCTTGCATAAGCAATGGAGAACACCAGGGATAGTTCCCAAAGCAGTGCCCACCTCACCCCCAGCTCAGTGCCAGAGGAGACTTTATACACCAGAGTGCAGAGGATATGTTACAACTGTGTAACAAGTGGGCCTAATCAGGGTGCATGTGCGGGCCATTGCATAATGAGTTCGGTGCAACATGCCATTACATAACAGGTCCCAGGTAACTTTTGGACTCTTAGAGCTGGAGCAGTTTGCAGGGGTCCTGCTGCAGCCGTGTAAGTTTCACTGTAGGATGGCAACCTCTGCAAAAATGGGGACATCGACTTCTGGAAAACAGCACATTTAGTTTTCTGCTTGTTTGGAAAACATTTGACAGACTATATTTAGTTATGGGTCAGATTTTCATTAACCCTTTCCTTGCCTGGTTTCTGGTCATATTTTGTACTTTTTGACATACAAATTTTGCACTTATTTTGTTAGATTTATTCCTAAGAAATGCCAGTTTTTTGGTGCTGTTGCAAATGGTACTGGTTTTTTAATTTAACTTTCGAATTTTCATTGCTGAAATATAGACATACAATTAAATTTATGTGACCTTCTACCCTGGAACCTTGCTAAAGTCACTTATTAGTGCTAGTCTATATTTTGTAGACTTTTTAGGATTTTCTGTGTAGATATTCTCATTTGTGAATAGAGACAGTTTTCTTTCTTCTTTTCCAATCTTCCTGACAGTCTTTTTCTTGTCTTATTGTACTGACTAGGACTTCCTATACGGTGCTGAATAGGAGTGGTCAGCATACCACTAGTAAAGTTTTTATTTTGTATGTTCCACTTTTTAGTTCTGTAATTAACTTTTTCCAAAGGTTATTTTTTTATAGTTTCTATTTCTTATGTGAGATTCTTTTTTTTAAAAAGACAAACTCATTGTAAGCATCTTATCCTTAATTTTTTGGATATATATGTAATAAAAGCTGCTTTTAAGTCCTTGCCTGTTCATTTCAATATCTGGGTAGTCTTGGGTTCACTTTCTATTGACTGTTTTTTTTCCTTGGCCATGTATCACATTTTCATTTCTTTACATGTCTGGTCACTGGTTATGTTACACTGGATACTGTGGTTATGGTGAATGGTGCTGACTTGCAGTTTAGTCCCTGACTCTCAGTCTGCGCTTAGGGAGGCATGTTCTATACTGTTCACTCACCTATTTGGTTTTGCCCTTATTGATAGAGCACATTCTCTTTGTCCTGCAACATGGCCTTTACTTCTCAGGTGTAGGGGAAGAAGACAATTCCTCTACCTTCTAGGGCCTTCTGGCTGGTCTAAGAATTAAATTGACATAAGACAGAATAACAGGAGAAAATCAAAGTTTAATAGCATGTATACAGGGGAGAAACCCAGGAAAACCGAGTAACTCACCGGAATGGCCGAAGTTACCACCTTAAATACCACCTTCAGCTAAAGACAAAGGAGGATGTTGGGGGTAGTGGTCTAGGTCTTCAAAGGGAGGAAGACAATTTACATGGAGGTGGAAAAACAAATGTCTGATGAACAAGTGTTTGCTGGGCCATCTACAGACAGTGGGACCTGAAAGAGATCTTTTGATAAAATGGCCCTTGCTGGATGCCTTCCTGTCTGCCACACCTGGAATTATCTATGGTGATAGCTCCTTCCTAGGATGGGCCTTCTATCTTAAATTCTTTTAGGCAGTTAGGAGGAAGTTCACAGTTTCTTCCAGAGCCTTTTGTCCTTAAAAATAATCAAGGCAAAGAGCCACATTTTGGGGGTGGCCAGTTCTGACCCCCACACAGGCGTGACACTTCAGGCGTTTCTGTGGAGCGCATGAAGTGCTTATTACTAAGATTCTTCAGCTCGGCGGGACTCCTGCCCCAAACTGCCTTTTCCTGTGATGGATGTCAGAGATAAACAGAGCCAGACGTGAGTTAAAGCAGTGAGGACACTTCATTCACTAACTGCTGGCAGTACGGAAGGAGCTGAGCCCTGTTCCGATTTGTGCAGAGGGGCCTGGCATTTTAAAGGGAGAATGGGGGGGTGGCGCTCCAGTGAAAAATGGCAAAGGGTTGGTCTGTGTCCGTGTGATTAGGCCAGCTGCCGTTGCTAGCTGTGGCAGTCAGGGTTCTGGCTTCCCCCGAGACTGGGAGATGGAGGCCCCAGCCTTCCTGATGATTCAGAGGAATGGCTTTCAGGTCTTTGAGAAAGACTCCTGAGGAGGAGGAGATACGTATACATCTCGGAGGGACAGGAAGCCTTCACCACTGTACATGTCCATTTTTAGTGAATGCTCTAAGAACGGGAGGTCAGGGGCCTGTGTCAGGTGTGGGTTAGAACAAACAGTAAATTCTCCTGGTAGCCTTGAGCTTTCTCAGGCAGGCGTTTTAGAGGGGCTGGGGCATCCCTGGGACTTATGCTGCTGGAAGCCATGCCCGAGTTGCATAGCCTCTTCCTGCAGAGGTCTGAGGTTCCATGCTAAGAGTTCTGCAGTTGTGGGCAGCAGCTAAAACTCTGTATGTCTGTCAGCCTTGCAGCTGTTGCTTTTCTCTGGCCTCCTTGGAGGCCATTCAGGGTCTGCCCAGGATTTGAGGGGGTTTGTATGCAGACTTCAGGGTTCTGCCCTCTGTGCTCTCTTTTAGAATTTCTCCCCTCAATTTACAGCAACTCTGGCAGCCCCAGCTCTGTTCTCTGGTTCCTCAAGCCACAAACACTGTGGCTTTCTGCTTAAGTTGTAGCCCCCTGCACCACCTGGACTGGGGTGTGTTCTCTGGGAAGCTGTGTGTAAACATGGGTCTCACCCAGAGACAGTCTTCCTTTCAAGAACTGAATCCTCTCCGGTTTCTGCCTGCTTTGGGCAGCTCTTCAAGCCCTTCAAGTCATTATTTTGTGTTTTCTCCGGGTTTATCATTGTTACTTGCAGGTGGGTTAGTCCATATAAACTAGTCTGCCAGCACTGGAACCAGAATGGCTAGCTGTTCATTTTTCCAACTGTTTATAATAAAAATGTTCAAATATTCAGAAAAATAGAATACTAATGCTAGAATACTAGCATCCAAATCTTGGGATGTCATTGCTTTTAGGCCCTTTCAGTAGGCAGCGTTAGGTAATAAATACATTTGAAAAATTGTGAGTTCCTATTAATATCTTCAATTCAGATTTAACTTGTCATTTTATATTCTTATCTTTTCTCTAACAGTGAAAATCTCGGTTTCTGATAGCATTAATAGATAACAAGATACATTCAGAGAAGTCTGACTTTATCCCTGTCCCCTCTGCCCCATTCCTGGCTTCCTCTGTAGGTAATAGTTTGTATTTGTTTTGGTTTATCTGCCATCATTTCTTTCTTTTACTATGAACAGAAAGACACAGAATACTAAACACATTGCTCTGAATGTTGCTTTTGTATTTTATTATGGATGTTTTCAAAATACAGGAGATCGAGGGCATTGATCTCTGTTTGCTTTTTGAGTCACAACACAGAATTAAAAATTACTTGCATATTATTGGTTATGTGTTTGAAATTTTACATTTGAGTCTTTCATTTTTGTCTAGCTTTATTGAAATATATTGACATATAACATTGTGTAAGTTGAAAGTGTACCATGTGATGATTTCATGTACATTGAGGGTCTTGTTTTTTTTTGGTGAGGGAGATCAGCCCTGAGCTAACATCCCTGCTAATCCTTCTCTTTTTGCTGAGGAAGACCGGCTCTGAGCTAACATCTATTGCCAATCCTCCTCCTTTTTTTTGTTTTCCCCGCAAAGCCCCAGTAGATAGTTGTACGTCGTAGTTGCACATCATTCTAGTTGCTGTATGTGGGACGCGGCCTCAGTATGGCCGGAGAAGCAGTGTGTCGGTGTGCGCCCAGGATCCGAACCCTGGGCCGCCAGTAGTGGAGCGTGCGCACTTAACCACTAAGCCACCAGGCTGGCCCCTATTGAGGGTCTTTTATCTGTGGTCTGACCATTTAAGATAGAGGTACTGGTCAAGAATTTGTTACATCACTTAAATTAGAAACAGTTATCGTGATTCTAAGGTTTATTATTTTATGATTCTACTTTTAAATTGTTTTGTTTGTCTTTTTAAAATTTTACAGGTTGAAGATCCAGGTTGCTTCTGGGTTATTATAAAAGGATGTAGTCCCTTTTTAGATCATGAAGTTGACTATCAAAAACTAAATAGTGCCATGAATGACTTCTATAATGGCATGTGTCAAAATATAGAAATAAAACCGTTAATGTTGGAAGAAGGGCAGGTATGTATCTGAATGTGCTTTAAGAACTGTCTTGAAATGCTACTCAAAATGTAGACTATTTTGGCAACTAATATGATACAAGCTTTTAGAGAATTTTAATTGCGTATAATCATTGCCTTGTGTTAGGTTCTTTGGGTTGCACAAGATTCAGACTAGTCATGGAAAGTGGTGGTGGTTGTATAAGTGTAACTGAACTCAGTGGGTCTGTCTCTTGGTGACTGCGGAGCCAAAAAGCACAACCAAGCTGAAGTGGGTGAAGAAGAAAGGTTTATTGCTTGCACAAGCAGTGGAGAACACTGGGAATAGCTCCCAAAGCAGTGCCCTACCCCTGTCCCCGCAGCTTAGTGCAGTTAGAACCTTTACAGACCAGAGTGCAGAGGATATGTTACAACTGTGTAACAACTGGGCCTAATCAGGGCACATGTGCAGGCCATTACATAACAAGTTCAATGCCATTATATAAGGCGCTCAGTGCAACATTCCATTATATAACAAGTCCAAGGTAACTTTTGGACACTTGGAGCCGCAGCACTTTGGAGGGGGGGAGTGTCTTGCTGCAGCCATAGAAGTTGCACTGTAGAATGGCAACATCTGCAAAAACAATGAGGTCAACTTCTGAAAAACAGCACATTTAGTTTTCTCCTTGTCTGGAAAACATTTGAGGGACTATGTTCAGTTATGGATCAGATTTCATTAACTCTTTCCTTGCCTGGTTTCTGGTCACATAAGGTTCCAGTGGGGCAGCAGGAGATGGAATGTCGTGTAAATTCAGGCATTGAGGCCATCCTCCTGGGGCTGGGAACCAGAGGATTATTCTAGATCATCACGGATTTAGGGACCTTGGCAAAGAGAACATGGGGCTTTTCCATCTAGGGCCGATGGCTCCCTTTTGGTTGCTCATGACCTTGGCCAACTCATGCTTCTTTACTTTCTTTACTCCACATCATGCTTCTCCTTCCTTTCTTATAGCCTCACCTCTCATGCCCATTGTCCGATTCTCTCCACAGGTCAGTCATTTCTCAGAAGAGTTTGAATTTTTATAATAGCGTGATAGGAGAAGATTTAGAAACTCTTTATGAGGAAAATTAGAAATAATTTTAATTCCTTCTTCTACCAAAAATCATCATTAATAACATTTATTATTTTTTTCTATACCATTGACTTGTTGAAGAAAGGAAACCAAGTCAATTTTCCTTTTGAAATATTCCACATTTTGGATAGCCTGATTGCTTCTTTATGGTGGTGGTGAACTTTCCCTCTATCCCCTGTATTTTCTGTGGACTGATAGTTAAATATAAAGCTTCCATTAGATTTAGGGCCACTTTTTTCTCCCCGAAGAATGATTGGTGCTGTGAGCTTCATCTTGTACTGAATTGGGAGATAATAGCACTTCTGGTGATGCTAAGATTGACCAGTGGACTCAGATGGAGGCAGCCTGAGCCCCGCCGTGTGCTGGTGCCCGTCAACTTGCCATGTGATGGTTGCACCTTCCAGTGACCTCCACTGCCCACATCAGTTCTTTCATTTAAGCTTGCAGAATGGTCATTTTCACATTCCTTTTGCATTCATGAGCTGGAATTTTTCTGCAGAGAACTTTCCCTCGTCTGTTAGGACCTTTTGGCTATCCTGAAATAACACAGTCCATACTGGGAAGGTAGAAAATTGCATGGTCCTTTCCCTTATCAATTTTCAGCATAGTGATTTGTGTCTGGTTATCTATCTTGGTGTCCAGAGGTTTGTTATGTTTTTCTCTCTCTTCATTTTTTAAGTACTATATTGAATATCAAGAACTATATTGAACTCATGGCTTTTAATATATTCATCAGTTAGTTCTTGATGCTTGAATCATCCCATTTTTGGCCAGTGGAATCCTGAGTATGCCACCATTTCAAAGTTGACTGGCTGTGTGAATTATTAACTATTCACACCATTCCAAAGTTGCTTTGATTTAAGTGTTAAACAGAAGTACCCTCCATTCTTTGGCAGAATTTCTCGAGTTTTTTGGGTTGAATTATGTGAGGCTTTCAAGAACCCATCCCTTGCAGAATGGCTGCACTGTATTTTCTGACTTCAGTTCCCGAGGGCAGGAATCCCCATTAGCCCACTTCTTCCCTGTTGGGCACAGCTCTCCCCCCTGGGCCACTTTATAAGCCTGTGGTCAGCATATGGTTGCCTGTCTGTGGATTGCGGTCGAGTTGGCTGTGGCTTGGCAGTCCTGTGGGACAGTCAGGATGCCACACGCTGTCACTTCAGCAGAGTAGTGTCCCTAAAAGGGGGCTGCAGGAATTTATTTATTCAGTCATTCAACAAATAGTTTTTGAAGACTTAGTACATGCCAAGCACTGTTCTAGGTGCTGGGAATATGGCAGTAAACAAAACAGATGAAAATCCGCATCGCTGCAGAGCTGACGTCCCGTTGAGGCAGATGGTCAACAAGTGTTAGAGGGCAGGAGAAGGCCCGGGAAGGAGAATGCGGAAGACAAGGCTGGGGTTACAATTTCATGTTGGTCTGTGAATGAATGATAGTCATTTGTAAGCTTTGTTTTCTGATTTAAGAGGGTAAAGAGATGCATGTTCCTTATTTTACTTTATAAAAATGTCCTTAAAGAGTCAAAACGATTGTAGTAAGAAAAACAATGCAGTAGAATTCAGGGGCTCTGTGTTCTTACTTACCAAGGCTCTTTTACGGACAAGCAGCATTTCCCTTGGGCAGGTCCAGCCTCCTCGCATCTCCTTCCTCTTCTGTAAGGTAGAATGTAGGCCAAGATGATTTGGGGAGTGCCCTTCAGTTCTCTCATTATATGACTAGAGATTTTAACACTCAAGTTTTCTTCTCATTTTGTAGGTTTGTGTGGTTTATTGTCAGGAACTAAAGTGCTGGTGCAGGGCTGTTATTAAGTCCATTGTGTCTTCAGCAGACCATTACCTGGCAGAATGTTTTCTCGTGGATTTTGCCAAGTACATTCCAGTGAAATCTAAAAAGTACGTACATATTTATTTTGCCTTATGCTCTTTAAGGAGATAAATGTCAGGTTTAAAGGAGAGTGTCAGTTATCTGAGTAAGGGGATAGAGGTCTTAAACGGGAATTTTTTTAGCTTCAAGGAGGGCAGACTTGCAGGTTCCAATTCTGCGTGCAGTGAATGTAAGAGCAAGTGGTCAGAATGGAGACTCGGCGGGTGGCTCCGGCCCTCCTTCCACCTTCTTGCCTGGAAAGGGCAGGTGCTCGCCCATCCTGGCCTCTCAGTATGTTCAGGTGATGGAGTAGGTCCTTTAGGGGGCTTGGCTGCAAGAGAGATGCTACCAGGAGGCAGAGAGAGACTCTTCTTGTCTCCACAGAAGGGACAGTTTGCTGGTACAACCTCAGGTTGCACTGAGCAGAGCGTGTATTCACGTGTGTGTTCCTGATTGTCCTACTTAACAAAGTGTGGACATGACCATCACATAAAGTGAGGAGACAGTTCAGAAGGAGCCTTCACTGATTCCAGGACCACACGTCACAGTTCGTTAGAAAACACTATCAACAAGTCAGTCTTAGTGTTTCTGATAATTTTTTCATAGTTTTCTGTCCCAGAGTAAGAAGATATCTGTTTAATAAATAAATTTGAGGACCCTTCTTCCAAAAGAGCAATAGCAAATAGACTTCAGTGGCAATAAGGTTTATCTTGAATAGAAGAATTTCATGGTAGATGGTTTATCAGACATTGGGAATTTGCAGATATTTAAGGAAAAATAGATGCCTTTCTAGCTTGTGATTTTGCACCTTTATATCCGTAATTGTTATATAAATAACTATTGTGTTTAACTCTTTGGGGAGATTTCCTTTTAATATTTGTGTTTTGAGTTTAGTTTGTTTTGGGCAAGAGAATTATATGACTAAGTAGAGTGCAAGGAGGCCTTGAGGGGCGGTGAGTGCAGCCCCCTTCTCCTGCACTGTCCGAGACGAGGATGGCTGGGCTGCCCACGTGGCGTCATGGCCACCACTTTATGTCCAAATCGTATGTTTAAAGGGTCTGTCATTTGAAGAAAAATGGAAATAAAATGCTGAACAACTTACTGTTCAAATCTCAGTCCTCTCAGCTCTTTTGTGCAAAGTTGACAAACACTTAATTATTAAAACACCTGCTCATTTACAGAAGCTTGAAGGTAATTCTGGTCATACGTTAAAATTGATATTTAAAAATTTTAAATAGAATTTGCTTCCCAGGCTTGTTCATTATTACGCAGTGTTTCTTGATCTAAGGAGCCTCATTGGACATTATTTTTCTAATACCTCCCACCCCCATGCCGTGAAATTTTAACACCAGAGATATACTGAATATCTATTTATGTACTATATGTGTTTCTGTGCTTTACATATAAAAAGAGTAAGATTTTTTTCACCCCCCAAGAACCAATTTTTGCACCCTTGGGCAAATGTCTCCAAGTCCTTCCTGCTGTTGATGGCTATATTAGAAACAGAAAGAATGAGTTTTTATGTGTCTGGTTTTATGTTAAGTATAATTATTATATTGGTGTACTTCAAAGAATATGTCATATGTAATTTTTCTTTATAATGGAACCATTTCTGTTTCACTGTTAAGCATCCGAGTAGCAGTAGAAACTTTTATGCAGCTTCCCTACAGAGCGAAAAAATTCAGACTGTACTGCACAAAACCTGTGACATTACACGTTGACCTCTGCGAAGACAGCACTGAAATCGTGTAAGTACAGCTTCTAGCGTGTGCTGTCATTGGTAAAAGTCTCAAACCGAGTGTGTGACGTTTATATGAAATCACTTCCTCTAGAGAAGTGCTAAGTGATAAGAAAGGGCTCTTGGTTCTTCAGGAGGTGTCTTCTGAGTCAGTGTGTGTCAAAGCCAGCCGCGCAGCAGAATTCCCCGGGCAGCGCCATCTCCAGAGGCTGCAGTTGAGGGGCTGTAGAGTGGAGCCCCAGCTCTGTGCTTTTCAGTGTTGTGTTGTGTTTTTTTTTTTAACTTACAAAAAGTAATAAATTAACTGTAAAGAGAAAGGATACGTAGAATCGTGGAGCATTAAAAAAAAAAGTCCATTGCATTCTTCTCCATCCCTGCTTCCTTCCTCCTGGGAGGCCTCTGTGACCTGTTCAGGCTCTGAACTTGCAGACCTTTTTCAGTGCTTTTATACATATTCACATGCATGGAGCTTTTATGAAAATTAGAACGTACTATCTTATTTGCAAATATAACTTAAGAATGTGTGTTGAAGCTCTTTGCCAATACGTGGACTCCCTTCTGCTGTCATCCTTTTCTCTGGGTGAATATAATTAGCATCCTTGCTGCACTTGACTATTCCTCTCTTGATATCCAGCGAGATTGTTTCCAAACCGTTTTGCACTGGACATTCCCATAAGAATCCAGATAAATCCACATAAAACATATAGATGTAGAGATGTATAGACACGCATGTGCATGCGCACACGTGCAGACACACGCACGCACGTCATACAGACACAACCTCCGTCTTTGCTGCTGCTTCCTAATATTTGGCCCCATTGCCAGTATTTGTCCAGGACGGGTCCCTGCACTGGGCAGCACTGTGTCAGGGGGTATGGCTGCGGTCTTTGCTGTCGTGAATGAGCACTACCTGGGCAGCCCCATCCTCCCACCTGCTACTCCTCCTTCCCTCCCCCTCCAGCAGCATGGCATTGTGGGGAAGATAGCTATAGGAAGCAGCACAGTTCTGACTTAGCTTGCTCAACTGGCACATCCTGGTGATGTTGCACTGTGTTCTCTGAGCTTGGAAGCTGCCTCTCTTGTGGATGCATTTGTGGGGTCTGTGGAGACCCTCCCCTCCCCACTTCCCTCAACCCCCATCACCTGCAGTTCCCTCGAGATGGTGAATGCATCGTTCTTGTGGCTGGCCTCAGAAACCACATTAATAAGATGCTAAGCCAGCTTCTCTCTGCCCAGGCCACTGTGCTCCACCAGGCTGCCCAGCAACCCCTGACGCCTCCCCTGCCCTCTTTCAGAGTAGCCAGCTGCGTACCCTCCTGGGGTGGCTTGGGTACCAGCCTGTCCACGCCCAGCTCTCTCTGAGAGGCAACCTGTTTCCCTGTCTTCCTCACTCCCCCCGTGCACGAGACCCTTCCCAGACCACCATGCTCCTCAGGGACGTTCCCACCTTTGGACACGCCCAAGCCTGGGAGACCCTCAGTGTAGGCCAAGGGCTTAAAGTAAGTGATCTGATTGGGTTTTGATCACAGTCTTTGACCTGGTGCCTTTGTGTTTGTACTTCTTCTAGAATGTCTGTCTCAGTATGTGTATTACAGTTTTTGTGGATTTTGTCAAGTTTCCCTCCAAAAGGACTAGCAATTTATAGTCCCTCATTGGGGTATACAAAGTACTGCTTTTCCCATATGGCATTGAATATCATCAGGCTTTTTAATTTTTGCTTGTTTGCCAGGTGAAAATGGTATTTTGTTTTAATTTGTATTTTTCTGACTTGTAAAAGTGGGTATCTTTCCATGTGGTTATTCTGTGTGTGTGTGTGCGCGCGTGTGTGTGAGAGAGAGACAGGCAGACGGACACACGGACTGATTGATTTTCCTGTGAGAGAGGTTGATCCATTTGCCTGTTCATGGTCTAGATTGATTTTCCTCTTGAGCCTTTTTCTTATTAGGATTCTACTACTTTTTTTTTTTAAAGCTCAGGTTTTTTTTGCAGGGGAGGATTCACCCTAAGCTGGCATCTGTTACCAATGTTTCTCTTCTCCTTTTAACCCCCCAAAGGCCTAGTACGTAGTTGTGTGTAGTAAGTTCTTCTGGTTCTTCTCTGTGAGCTGCCACCACAGCATGGCTACTGACAGATGAGTGGTGTGGTTCCTTGCATGGGAACGAACCAGGGCCACCAAAGCAGAGTGCACTGAACTTGAACCACTAGGCCATCAGGGCTGGCTCCATTTTGTTTTTTTAAAACAAGCTTGTTAGGTAATTTTTTGTGTGTAGCAAGGTTTTAGAATCACTGTCTTTATCTATTTTTTTATTGTAGAAACATTGGTTTATAACATTATATAAATTTCACGTGTACATCATTATATTTTGATTTCTGTGTAGATTACATCGTGTTCACCACCCAAAGACTAATTACCATCCATCACACACACACATGCCTAATCACCCATTTCACCCTCCTCCCTTCCCGTCTCCTCTGGTTACCACCAATCCAGTCTCTATCTCTGTGTGTTTGTTTGTTATTGTTTTTATCTTCTATTTATGAGTGAGATCATAGAACCACTATCCTTATTTTTTTTGCTGCCTTTTAGAAACCCTTTATAATTCTCTTGAAGTAATGTGTTTAATATCTTTCTTAGTAAAAATAAAAATAACTAATATTTCTGACCAGGCACTGGGACAAGTGCTTTATGTACATGACCTAATTTGATCTTTTTTTTTTTTTTTTCCCTGAGGAAGATTTGCCATGAGCTAACATCTGTGCCAGTCTTCCTCTGTTTTGTATGTGGGTTGCTGCCACAGCATGGTCGCTGACAAGTGGTGTAGGTCCACGCCCAGGAACCGAACCCAGGCCACCAAAGCAGAGTGTGCCAAACTTAACCACTAGGCCCTGGGGCTGGCCCCTCATTTGATCTTTAAAACAACCCTTGGAGTATGGTAGTGGATAAATAAAGCCAGTGGAGGTGCAGAAAACATTTTACTCTAACCTTTCTTATTTTATTTTTGTTCCTTGCTTCCAAATATTAGTTTCTCCTGATCTTCCACTGCCTACAGCTTTTCCTGCGATTTTCTTTCCAAAGCATAGGAAAGGGCAAGATGATACAGATGAAATGGAAGCCAGTAAAAAGGCATCAGCAGCATGAGGATTACCATGAGACAGTGGCTGCTCTCCCACAGCCATGCTGAGAATGTGGGTGTAACCAGCATGTACGGAGCCCTCGCTCTGTGCTAGCCCATGCTGAACACTGCGCACTCAGGATCCCTGCCCCACAGAGCTTCTGTTCTGGTTGGGGAGACAGATGTGTCCCAAGTACCTGGGGACGATGGTGTTGGGACAGATGATGCTGGGGTGGTGGGCATGGGCCACTCAGGAAACCCCCGGAAGGGGCCCGTTCAGCAAGTCTCTGCACTGGTGTGGGCAGCAGTAGTGAGAGGAGCCTGTTGCAGGTGCCACTGGGGTCATCACCCAGAGCAGAGCCGGAGTCAGTCTCCCTGGTACCTGCAGCATATGTTCAACACGTAATATCAGAAACATCCTGCATACGGTTTACAGAATGACATTAGTGTACTAGCCTCAGATTTTTATTTAATGAAGTTGCATCTGTTCACTGTTCCAGACCCGCCAGGAAGTGGGACAGTGCAGCTATTCAGTACTTTCAGAACATTCTAAAAGGTAAGGCAAGGCGTGATGATCACTGCAGCCTGCTTCAACCTTCTGGTGGTGAGGGGTTTGAGATTGAGTCCCTAGCTGTCAGACCCTCCTCGTGTGTTCATGAGTTACTGGAGCCTCTTCCATCCCAAGTGTGGCAGTGACTCTGGAATTGTGGGAGTGGATGTGGACGTCAGTAATTGCCAGGTGAAATTAGAAAGGGGATGTTTGGCAGAGGGACCCTTACATGATGCCTGTCTCTTAGTTTGCATAGAAGCTGCAGCACTGTAAAATACATGTATGTGCATTTTATTGAACCAATGATTGATGAAAAACCTAACTTTTTTTAGTGAGCAAGGGATAGTAGATGGACACCTACTGTGTAAATAATCATCGTTGCTAATTTAAGATGTATGGAATGTCTCAGAGCACCTGCCTAGTGTGCTCTCCTTATAATGTTGGCTGTGGAATAGAGTCTTATTTGTGGCGTCTGTCCTAACGCTGACAGTCAAGAGCAGGTAACTGTGTCTGCCTCTTAGGGCTGTTCTGAGGAGCAGAGGGTGTGAAGTGCCTGGGGTTCTGAGGAGCAGAGGGTGTGAAGTGCCTGGGGTTTTGAGGAGCAGAGATTGTGAAGTGCCTGGGGTTCTGAGGAGCAGTGGGTGTGAAGTGCCTGGGGTGCTGCCTGGTACCTTCTGGGGTCCTGGCCCCTCCCCTCCGCTGCCCACCACACTGTCTGGGTAAAGGAACAGCCAGATGCTTTGACCTGGGAGAAATGGAAGGTTGGGAGGGTCTCTGGTTTTGGAGCTTGGGCCCTTGTGAGCCCGTTGGGGGATGCTGGGAGATACAGATTTGCGGGAGGCAGAGTGTCTGGGTTTGAATACCGCCCTCCTGCCTCTGTGTAGCCCTCTCTGACCTGGTCTCCTCACCTGTAAAATGACAATAACAGTACTTACCTCAAGGGATTGTGGTAAGAGTAAATGAAATACGTTTATAAAGGACTTAGCGTACTGCCTGGTAGGTACCATACGTGGAGCTGCTGTTTTGGTGATGAAGTCCATGGGGCATTTGGGGCGGTAGAATGGACTCAGATGAAAGACTGTGACTGGACGTGTGGGTTTGCGAGTCACTGGAAGGGAAGAGAGGGCCAAGCACTGTCCTTGAGGAGGCGTCACAGGGTGGCAGGAGGAGGGAGCTCTGGGTGGGGACAGAGGATACATGACTGACCCCATGCCAGGAGAGCGTCCATCTTGACTTCAGCTCCTCCCCCCTGCCCCACCCCGACCTTTTCTGCTCTAAGGCTGGTCCTGCACGAGGAAGCCGCTGGACATTGTGGCGCTGGGTAATCGTAAGTGGTTAGCAGAAATTAATAGATGAGAAATGGTCATAATTGTCTCAAGTATACTTTTAATATCAGCTAACTTGTTTTCGTTTATGCTATTTAGCAACTACCCAGGTGGAAGCCAAGTTATGTGCTGTGGAAGAAGATACTTTTGAGGTTTACCTTTATGTAACTATAAAAAACGAAAAGGTAAGTGAAAGAATTGTATTTTTAAAAGACCTTATCATTACTTACAATTTTTATTTTAATAAAACAAAGAATAAACACCAAGGAAAGTAACGTTATTCACAGAGCATAGAAATTTTCTTAATCTTTCAAGGTCTGGCTTGATCAGAAGTTAAGCCAGGACTGTGTTTTCTTCTTTTATTTAGACAACATTTAGTTTTCTCTTTGTATGTGATATGTGCTCATTGTGAAGAATTCAGATAACGTAAGTAGAAAGAAAGAGGGCGTCACTAGCTGTTAACGTTTGGCCAGCCAGCCAGCCTTTATGAAGGGAGGCACGAGGGTATGGCTCTGCGCCTGTGTGGGGGTGGATGGAGGTGCAGATCTGGGGCTGCTCGGGCCCACAGAGGGTGTCCAAACCAGGGTTCATTTAAAAACTTTATTTTGAAATAATTTTCCCCTTCCAGAAGAGATGTCAAAATAGTACAGAGACTTTTGTGAGTGCTTCACCTGGGTTCCCCTCATGTTAACCATACAGACCAATAGCACAGTGATTAAGACCAGAAAATTAACACTGATAAAATACTGTTTAAAGAAACCTACAGACCTTATTTGAATTTTGCCAGTTTTCCCACTAATTTCCGTTCTCTGGTCTGGGATCTGATCCAGGACCCCACATTGCATCTGATTGTCATGTCTCCTTAGTCTCCTCCAATCTCTGAGTTCCTCAGTCTCCTCGTCTTTTAGGACCTTGATGCTTCTAAAAAGTACTGGCCAGTTATCTTGTAGACTTCGCTCAGGTTGGGTTTGTCTGATGTTTTCTCACGGTTAGACTGAAGTTGTACATTTCTGGCAAGAATGCTATAGGTGATATTGTGCCCTTCCCAGTGCGTCACAGTGGGGCTTCATGCTGTGGAGCTGTTTTATTGCTTGTCGTGTTCAGCTGGGTCACCTGCTTCAGGTGGTGCCTGCCAGGTGTTTCCTCTACAGAGTTACTATTTTCTCCTTTTGAAATTAAGTGTCTTATGGGAGATACTTTGAGATTGTGTAAATACCCATCAATGATTCTTGCCTGCACAACTTATTTCTGTGGTGCTTGCCCATTTCCATCATACCTTCTACATTCTTAGTTGAAATTCTACTATAAGGAAGAACTGCCCCTTTTCCCGCATTTATTAATTGATTCAGTAACTTACCTGAGTATGGACTCCTGGATATTTATTTCACTCTGGGGGATATAATCCATTACTATTATTATTTTTTCTTTTTGCTCAAATTGTCTCATATTTGGCCATTAGGAGCTTCTTCAGAGTGGCTTGTGTGTCCTTTCCATCATTGTTCCATCATTGTTGAAAACTCTCTACTTTCTGATACCACAAGATGTTCCTGGCTAATTTGGTCATTTTCCAGTCCAGCTCTAGAATCACCCACTTCTCCAAGTGTTGTATTGAAGAATGGTATTCATTTTTGAAGAGTGGTGTGCAGATAGCAAGATCAAGGTGCTAGGTGTTCTCGTGGCTGCTGGGGTGTCATTGATTGTGGGTCCTCTCAGCAGACAGTGAGGAATACATGTGTATGCTACCCCTGCACACACCCACACATGTGTTCCTAGGTCTGTCCCTCCGTACGTGTATTAGGAGCTCTGGTACCTCTGATTCCAGTCCAGCACCACAGGGTTGGTGCTTGCCCTCCCCTTTCCTTACCTCGACACTTGTCTCTGACAGCGAGAAACCTGCTCTTGTTAGCTGCAGTATACTTATTTGATCAGTCCTATAATTCATGTAATTTCAGGATTGCTAACCCACATTCCTGTGGAAAAGAAATTTGTCTTTAGCCTTAGAGCGTGCAGCCAAGACACTGTTTCCAAGTTACTAGGTTAGTTCTTTTCTTCCCTACCCTCTTCAGTGTGATTATGTTGTTCATTTGTAATAAGGGTCATTTGTCACTGATTGTGTAGCGTTTTGGGTTCCCCCATGTCCTTGTTGATTTTCCCTGTGACTTTTCATTCCTCATTTTACAACTTGTTAAAAATGCCAGGATGTTGGCTGTATGACTAGTCTTGTGAAACGTCTTTTAAGCAAGTTCTCTGCTGACTTGCTGCTTCTTGCTGCTCAAGAGTGAGTCTGTCTGTCTGTGCATGGTTGTTTGCGGATGGTAACATGCTCTTACTTCAGGTGGTGAAGTGCAGAAGGCATGCTTAGCAGAGAGAACTTATGGTGGGTGCATGAGATCATAATTGCCAGAAAAAGAAAAATAGGGCCAGCGGTCCTTTGTCAGCTCCCAAAGGAAGCACAAGGATGTGTCCCAGGGGTTCTCGTTTTTGGCTCGGCTTCTTTTACTCAGCAAAATTATTTTAAGGTACATCCACATTGTTCCTTTCATTATCAACTCTTTCGTTTACAACTCTTCCTTTGTCAGGGTATATACTACAGTGTGTTTATCCATTCACTTGTTGTAGGACATTTGAGTTGTGGCCATTTTGGGGGCTAATACAAATAAAACTGCTGTGAATATTCCTGTACAAATCTTCCTGTGAACCCGTGCTTTCATTTCTCTTGGGTAAATACCATTTCTCTTGGCCAAACTTGTGGATGGTATCGTAGGTGTTAAGAGACTGCCAAATTGTTTTCCAGAGTGGCTGACCATTTTGTGATCCCATTAGAATGTATGAGAGTTCCAGTTCCTCCGCGTCCTCCTCAACACTTGTATGGTCATTCTCATGGGTGTGTAGTGGTATCTCATTGTGGTTTAAATTTGCATTTCCCTAATGACTTACGAAGTTTAGTATCTTTTCATATGCTATTTGTATTCTGTATATCTTCTTTGATGAAGTATTCATTGAGATCTTTGCCTATTTTTAAATTGGGTTGTTTTGTTTTCTTTTTATTGAAGTTTTAGAGTTGTTTATATATTCTGGATACATGTCCATCCAGATATATGATTTAAAAAATATTTTCCAGGGCTGGCCCCGTGGCTTAGTGGTTAAGTGCGCGCGCTCCGCTGCTGGCGGCCCGGGTTTGGATCCCGGGTGTGCACCGACGCGCCGCTTCTCCGGCCATGCTGAGGCCGCGTCCCACATACAGCAACTAGAAGGCTGTGCGGCTATGACATACAACTATCTACTGGGGCTTTGGGGGAAAAAAATAAAGAAATAAAAATTAAAAAAAAATTTTTTTTTCTTCCTATCTGTGGATTGCCTTTCATCTCTTTTTTGTGTGTGTGTGAGGAAGATGAGCTCTGAGCTAACATCTGCCAATCTTCCTCTTTTTTTGCTGAGGAAGACTGGCCCTGGGCTAACGTCCGTGCCCATCTTCCTCCACTTTATATGTGACGCCGTCACAGCATGGCTTGCCAAGCGGTGCGTCTGTGTGTGCCCGGGATCCGAACTGGCGAACCCCGGGCTGCCACAGTGGAGCGCACGCACTTAACCGCCTGCGCCACCGGGCAGCCCCGCCTTTCATCTCTTAACAGTGTCTTTTGAAGAGCAAATTTTTAAATTTTGATAAGTTCTAATTTATCAGTTTTTCGTTTTATGATTTGTGTTTTGTCTTTAGACTCCCCCCAGATCTTTGCCTGGTGAAGTCGTGTTGCTCTCCTGTGCTTTCAAGAAGATGTTTCTTATATTTTGTATGGTTTATTCCCCATTTTCTTTTCAGGAGGGTTGGTCAGAAGTTTTTAGTTCAGCATTACCAGAGCAGAAGTCAATTTCTATCAAATTATGTTCTATAAAATAGTTTTTCTGAAGATTGAAATTTGGGGTTAAGTTTGGGATATTTTCTGAACAGTCACTTAACTATATTTGTCTTATTATTCTTGAAATGTTTAAAATTGTACAGGTTTGTGTTAATGATGATCTGGTTGCAAAGAACTTCGCTTGCTTTATATCACCCATGGAGAGTAAAAACCTTGATTCTTTAGAGAAACCAAGAGTGAATATGAAGTCAACGTCCTTTTCTAATAAACTCCATCCGGCACTTACTCTTTGGCCAATGTTTTTGCAAGGAAAAGATTCTCAAGAAATGAAAAGTGAGTGGATTCTTACCAATATATGTTTCCTTTAAACTGAAAGTCTTATTTGTAGGAGTCTTAGTGTATTGATGTAACTTGTCATACAAACTTTTCCCCACGTGGAGGCTTGGGGAGACAGATGTGGACTCTGAACTTGATATTTTAATTTTAATCTTAGTGTGGGACAGGTTTTGAGGTCCTAAAGCTGCTGCAGTTTGTTTTTATGAGACCAGGAAAAAACTGTTCTCAGTTTCTTATTAACATGAGAGAGTCAGTCAGGGACGATGGAAGCCACTTGAAGTGTTGCTGTCTGCACTCAGCTTGCTTTAGTCCCTCCACATTGCTCCCCTGCCCCGAGTTGCATCTCCCGTACCCTTACAGCAAAAGTCAGAGCAGGAGGAGTAGACCAAAGAATTCACATTTGTATTTCGGGTTTTATTTCATACTTTAATCCTGAAATATCTTCTTTCTATCAGATTCACATGGTTTAACTTTTCTGGCACAGTCTCACCAGCATCCGTGGCCCAAGGGTGTTGTTGGTGACCTGGCGCCAACCGCTGCAATCCTGGGTAAGTTCTGCTGGCTTGCTGTATCTCCTAGGCAGTGTAAAAGAACACTCTTAACTGTCTAAAGATCATAAGGGTTGTTTAGAAGGGCTGCGGTAATTCCGTCTCTTTTTTTTTTTTTTTTCCCCTTAATTGAATAGAACCAATTTATGACGTAGATGCTGACAGATAATTTGCCTTGCAGTCCATACTTAGAGGGTTTTACTATAATGTAAAGAACACGACAGGCACTTGTTCATGTGGAGGACTGATTTATTCCAGCCCAGCCAGAGACTGAGCTGTAATAATCCATAATGATTATCTGTCCTCAAAGTATTGTTGTTAATGCCGTCAAGTTGTTTCCGACTCCTAGCAACCCCGTGTACAAGCAGAGTGGAACCCTGCCCGGTCTTTTTTGTGCCATCCTCTCACCTTCTGGTGCTATAGCGGACAGTGCTCCACTGCTAGTCACAGGGTTTTCATGGCCAGTTTTTTTGGCAGTGGGTGGCCAGGTCTTTCTTCCTAGTCTGTCTTAGTCTGGAAGCTCTGCTGAAACTTGTGTGTTGGCATTTGAGATGCCAGTGGCATAGCTTTCAGCATCACAGCAACATTCAGCCACCACAGTACGACAACCAACAGACGGGTGGTGTGGTTCCCTGACTGGGAAACAAACGGGGGTTGCTGTGGTGAGAGCGCCGAATCTTAACCACTAGACCACTAGGGCTGGCTCCTCACAGTACACATATGGATTTATGATTGATTTTTATTTTAATCAGTAGGATGCATAAAAATAAGAGGCATTTATGAGGGTAGAAATACTTAGTCTTTAAATCTCTATCTCCAAGACACTTAATGAATTGACATTGTTGGATGAGGGTGAAATCTGCCGGCCTCTCTGATACTTGGCTTGCCCTCTGAGGTCATTCCTCCACGATTTCACTCTTATGCTGGGTGTATGTGTACCTATGGGTGTGATATTTTGTATGTATCCATAGTAAACCCCAACTAAACTAAAGCTTTAGTCAACTAAGTTATTCCCTACACTGAAAATTATTTTTAGTTACTTCGATGTTGTTTATCATAGAAAAATACAGATAATCAAAATTTTAAAGATATCATCTTTAATACCTACTTATTAAAATTTTAGAGTTTTTCTTTACAGAGTTTTCCAGATGTGAGAGTGTGTATAAAATTTTCATTTTACAGATACAGGGATCTTACTATACATATCTCTCTGTAGTGTTTTTCATTTAATATATGGGTGGACTTCTTTCTAGGTTGGATGTGTCCAGTGCACATGGATTTAAGGATGTGGGGTCTGGTGTGAGACTGTTGGGATGTCGGTCCCGCTCCTTCCTCTGTGAACTGGGGAGGCCTTGTTCCCGTGCCGTCGAGTTGGTTAGACGGGCCTTCCGTGTAGATTCTGCGTGGCACAGCGCCTGGTCCATGGCAGACTTTGGTGCATGTGGCCCTAACCCCATATTGTGATATGCCTCCTGCAGGGGTCCCAGATGAGAATTCCTGCTGAAAGCAGCCCCTGTTACTGATGGGAATGTATTATTTCTGTTAGCATTTCTTCTGTTTCCATTGTAGCAGGAAAAGTACCAGGCATTTGCGTTGTGTTTAATCATTACACAGCTTTCCATTGTATGAATATATCATTATTCTTTTAGGTAGCCCCATCATTGTTTCCTGCTTTTCCTTATTACAGTCAATGTTGGAATGAACTGTGTATCTTTTAAAAGGAAAAGGTTGATGGTAAACAAAAGATTGTCATATAAAAAACAAAATTATTAGATGTTACTTATCCAAGCAAAGATTTCCTTTTCCTGGTAATTATTGTGAGAAGTTGTTTCAACTATAGTCTAATTAATTTTTGCTACTTCTCTTTGAAATTGCCTTCTATTTTTTAAATCAAAGTATAATCCTTGGTTAAACAATCAGCTAGTCCAAAAGGGCTATAATGAGAAGTAATTTTCTGTTGTCCATCCTCTTCTTACCCCAGGCTGTTCCCTCTAGGGGACAGTAAATCTTTTTTTTTTTTCCCTTAGCTATTTATTTTGGCGGTTATCTCCAAATTTTAAAATAATGATTGTTTTACTATTTCTAGGCTTATCCATTCTAGACATTACCTTGACCCCTGTGACAGATTAGGTCTCATGCCCCTAATCCACATATATTTGTTGATTAGATATTCATGAAGTACCTACTATGTGTCAGACACTGTTCTAGGGATTCATAGGGAAGGAAATGGAGTCTCTGCTTTCATGGAGTTTACTTTCACTTTCTCAATAAGATTTTTTATTTTAGAATAATCACAAACTTCCAGAAAAGTTAGCATTACAAAGAACTTTTTTCCTAAACTGTTTGAGAATAAGTTACTGACTGGAATGCCCTATCTTTCCCCAGTACCTGAGTGTGTTTTTCCTATAAACAAGAATATTCTCAAGAATATTCACAATACAGCCATCAAAATCAGGAAATTAACATTGATACATTGTGATCATTTAACCCTCAGACACCATTCTGTTTTGCCGCTTGTCCCAACAATTCGTTTAGGGCAGAAAGATGCAGCTCGGCGTCCCGTGTTGCGTTTAGCGGTCATGTCTCTTTAGTTTCCCTTAGTCTGGAACGTTCCTCAGTCTTCCCTTGACTTGCATGACCTAGACACTTTTGAAGATTATAGACCAATTAGTTTGTAGAATGTCTCTCAGCTGTAGCAGATGTTTTTCTCATGATAAGATTCAGCTTATGCATCCTTGAAAGGGGTACCTTAAAAAGAGATGCTGTGTTCTCATTCCACCTTATCAGGTGACACAAAATTTCAGTTTGTCCCATTACTGATGAAATTCACTTTGGTCGCTTAATTAAGGTGGTGTTTACCAGGCTTCTCTGCTGAAAGTTACTCTTTTCCCCTTGTAAATATTTTGTAGGCTGCTACTATGAAATTTAAACATCTCATTCCTTTTTATTTGCTAATTAATTCTATTTGAAACCCTGAAATGACTGATTTCTCCAAGTTGCCCTGGCTCCCTTTAATGGAGAATGGCATTTTGAAGCCAAGATCTGGGAGCCAGGTGTGTTCATTTCTTTTGGGGTGTTGTTGCTCCCAAGCCCTTTGAGTGGACGTGTATGTGCACATGTCTATACGTAATTTACGTCTGTATCTATTTTACATCCATGATCTACGTATTGAGAAACCAGGAGTTCACACCTGTACTTCCAATTGCGCTCTTGCTGCTGGATTTACTCTAGTTTTCTACCTTTCCAAGTGTGTAACTCCCTTCTGTGACTGGGAGTCCTGCCTCCCATTATCCTTACTGGAATTACTATTGGGTTGGTCCCGCTATGTAAGTAACTACTCTTTTTGGCTTTGTAAGTAACCAGTCTTTCATGGCCATTCCTCTCCCTTCTGTGCGGATGCGCTCCTCACACCTCTCATGCTCTGACACCACCCCCACCCTGTCACGCCCCCAGTTCAGGCAGATACCTCCCCCCCACACACACAACCACCTTGTGGGGGCTTCCTCCTTTCAGTTAGGCTCAGACTTGCCCCCTCGTGGTCCTATAATCCCGTGTTGGGTAGCCTCCCACTGCAGCCCTCACAAAGGTGCCCTCTCGTCCTGCTTGGCTCTGCCATCTGCTGCAGGCCTCTCCCCTCCTCCTCTGCCATGTGCTCACCTCACTGCTTGGGCTGTCAGGCACCAGGGTTCCTTCCCCCACCAGAGCAGATCTGAGGCCCTTTGCTCTGCCCACCCAGCAGTGTTCGGGCGAGTTGTGGGGAAGGGGACGAGCTTCCACTATAATTTTATAACTCTTTAGTTCTACTGATCACCTTTAAAATGAGGGTATGAACAGCACAATTTTTCCTCTTCCTCCTCCCATCCTCTGTCATCAGTACCTTTATATTGTTTGCATTCTATTCTGCACCCATAATTAATATTCTCTGTTCTTGCCTATAGACTGAGTTTTTTTTTAAATAGACTTTATTTTTTAGAGCAGTTGTGGGTACATAGCAAAATTGAGCAGAAAGTACAGAGATTTCCCATATACCCCTTGCCCCCACACCTGCATGACCTCCCTTGTTATCAATATCTTCCACCAGGTGAAATGTTTGGAACAACTGATGAACCTACGTTGACACATGCTTATCACTGGGAGTCCATAGTTCACACTAGGGTTCACTCTTGGTGTTGTACATTCTATGGGTTGTGTAGTGACCTGTATCCACCATTACGGAATCATACAGAGTAGATTCTGTAAGCGCTCTAAAAATTCACTGCTCTAAAATTTTTCTGTGTTCTGCCTATTCATCCCTCCTTCACCCCTACTCCCTGACAAGCACTGATCTTTTTACTGTCTCCAAGTTGTACCTTTTCCAGAATGTCATATAGTTGGAATCATACAGTATGTAGCCTTTTCAGATTGGTTTCTTTCACTTAGTAGTATACATTTAAGATTCCTCCATGTCTTTTCATGGCTTGATAGCTCATTTCTTTTTAGCACTGAATAATGTTCCGTTGTTTGGATGTACCCCAGTTTGTTTATCCATTCTGAAGGATATCTTAGTTGCTTTCAAGTTTTGGCAACTATGAATGAAGCTGCTGTAAACATTCATGTGCAGGTTTTTGTGTGGACATATGTTTTCACCATATTTGGGTAAGTACCGAGGAGTGTAATTCCTGGATCATATGGTAAGAGTATGTTCACCAGCAGTAACTGAGAGCTGCTGTTGCTCCACATCCTCACTAGCATCTGGTGTTGTCAGTATTCTTTATTTTGACCATCCTAATAGGTGTGTAGTGGTATGTCATTGTTGTTTTAATTTGCATTGCCCTGGTGATATATGATGTAGGGCATCTTTTCATGTGCTTATTTGCCATCTGTATGTCTGTTTTGGTGAGGTGTCTGACTTTTTGCCTAATTTTTTAGTTGGGTTGTTTGTTTTCTTATTGTTGAGTTTTGAGTGTTCTTTGTATACTTTGGTTGACAGTTCTTTATCAGATACGAGTTTTGCAAAAATT